GGGAGGGGTGGGGACGTATGGCGGAGTGGTGGGGGGCGGCCTGAGGGGGCGGGAGAGGGTCTGACCCACGCTGAGCCTGGGCTGGGACTGGTCCCTCTGGCGCAGGGTAGCAGGAATCTCTCCACACACTCACCGGACCTGGGCTAGGACTGGGTCCCTGGGTTCATTCTAATTGCCTAGCAACCTGTGAATGTATTTAAAAATGTGCTGGATAGACACAAGGAAATATTCAACCATAAGGAGAATAAATCCTTGTGATTTGCAATAACATGGATGAACCTGGAAGACATTGTGGTGAATAAAATAATCCAAGCATACTTAGACCAGTTCTTTATGTTCTCACTCACAAGTGGCCTTTAAATCTTTGGCCTCATGAATGGTTATCCTGGCTAGGGAAGACAAAGCAACGGGACTAATTGGACAGAAGTTAGTAATGAGTAAGGTGAAGCAGAATGACTAAGTCCTGGCGTTCTGATGCACAGTTGGTAACTATAGTCAATTATAACGGATTTCATATTTTCAAAATAGCTCTTTCAATGTTCTCATCACAAAACATGATAAATACCTGAGTCAATGAATAGTCTAATTATTGGATTCTACCATTATACGTTGTATGCAGATATTCACTGAAAAGCCACACAGTGAGGTCAATAAAATCTTAAATATCACTTTCTTTAATAGAGAAACTGATTATATATATATATATATATATATATATATATATATATATGTCAAAAAGGAGGATCAAATGACCCCCAAATTATCTGTTCTATTTTTTAATTTAATATCTGTGTCAACTTGTTTCACTTATACTAAGTTTCTTTCAGTTAATTGAGCAAAAAATTTTATGCTAATACGTATTTGTTTCTTCTTTGTAATAGAAAATCTATTTTGTTGATGTCAAACTCTAGTAAATATTTTGAAGATAATGACATAGAATATTATTGGTATCATCTCATGATTTTGTTAAAAATTTTGGGTTTTTTTCATAAAATAGAAAAATAAGAAAAACAAAGAGAAAGTCTCAAGATACTCACAGATAGGAGAGGAAAAAATTGAGAATAGCACCAAAGAATAAATTCTTCGGTGGAAGTACAAGAGAATATGTGCACAAGCTGAATGCTATAAACAAAATAATCATGATTTAAGAAAAATCTTGGGTCCTCTAAATAGATGGTGAGCTAAACAAGGTTTATTCACATTTTGAAACAATATTGGTCATGTCAGTTCCAAGCAAATTGTTCTATAGATTCAAATTGTTCCAATAAAATACCAAATTTTTTTTTGACAAGTTGATTCTCACATTTGCATGGAAAGGCAAGGAAGTAGGTTGGACAAAACACTTTGCTAAAGGAGGCAGTGCAGAATGGAAGAATGAGGCTACCAGGTTGTGTGCATTCTTCAAGTCCGTGATACAGACGGGAAGGCAGGCACATCAGTCAGTGAGCTAGGGCAACACGCTGAGAAACTGGCTCACAAGCTTAACTGATTATTTGCAAAGGCATTTTTATAGAATAGGGATATTCTTTCTATGAATGGCTATTGGAACTGTTGGGCTCTGTATAAATAAATAAGAAACAAACAAATGGTGACATATAGTTTTTTCCTAATAAAAATTAACTTGAAATGGATCGTCGACCAAATTGGAAAACATAAAATTAAAAGGTTTCTAGGAGAACTGCGTGAAATTGGACATACGATGAATACTAAGATAAAATCATAAAACCATAGAACATAAAACATACTCAATAAACTAGATTTATCAAGATGATAATTTTTGCTACTCAAAAGACACTCAAAAAGAGGACACAAGCAATAATCTAGAAGAAATTATGTGAGATTACATTTCAGTGAATGTATTTGTATTCAGAAATACATAGAACATTTAACAATCATAAGAAAACAAATTGCCCAATTAAGATGGACAAAGTTATAATCAAACATTTTGGGAAAGGATTAGGTGACAAAAGCATATTGAGATACTTTTATGTACCTATAAAAATGAAAACAAAGTGAAAAAGGCAAACGTCAAAGTCAGATAAAGATACAGGAAATAGAAATATTTTCATCCTTGATGGAATTACAAAAAGTGTAACTTCTCCTTTGGAAAACCGCCAATTTCTTATAAAATGAAGCACATAATTATCATATGAAGCAATAATAACATGTTTATTTTAAACTCAAGCCAAGTTACAAAATGTTAAATAAAAGTTGCACATCAATGTTTATAGAAGGCTTGAGCTGGAAACAATATTCCCTGAAATATGTTAACAATAAACACAAAGCAGTGTACTAATACAAATAAATACTACTGAACTCTTAAATCAACTATTGATTCACATTCTAATATGAAAGAATCTTATTTTCATTGGGTTAAATTAAAGCAGTAAGGTTCAAATTGCCTTGTGTATCATATGATCTTGATTATGTGACATTTTTTCAATTGTAAAATCATGAAGATTAAAAAAATATGGATTGACAGGAATGTTTGGGTTTGAATATGCAAGAAAACATACAGTGATTTTGCTTGCTATAAGGTTCTCTGTCTGGGTGGACACAAAATTCTATGTATTTTTTTTCAAAATTATAGACGCAAGCAGTATAGAATACATTTAATGTATATATTCATATTACAATACAAGTTCAGCTAAGATTTTAGGAATTCCAAGGTAGAATAAGACCATTTTGAATAAGTTTAACTATGCTACTAACGCATGACAAGTCATTGAAGGTTGTTGAAAAGACCATTCCCATACATAATTGTGGAAAGTAGTATTTTGATTGGATAATATAAAGTTAAGGCAGAAATAACTTTATGCAAACACTGCATTATGGCTGGTAACTCCAATATAACAGGAGTATATTCGGGAATTCTGAAACTGCTTTGCAATCACTAGAGTTATACAATTAATTAAACAAGATGTAATTACTACCTGAAATGTATTTGAGGACACATCATTTCTAATATAAGATAAAAGTTTACAAAAAAGCTAGAAACTCTTCAGTGAATTCTGTGACAGATTAAAGCTATGATAAAGTACATGATAATTTAGCATACTTACATGAAGGAAAACAAAGAAATATAGACATGTGTCCCTCCAAGCATATAAATGTCTACTTTTACTGAAAGAATAGTGAAAACTCAGTAATAATAAGCATCATTAATTTTTATATTAAGATGCTAGACCATATTCTCTAACAGAAAGAGCTAAGGCACTTTTAGAAATGATTAATTCTAGTGCTGGTGCAGGGAAAAACAATTTATTCCAGGGCATCTTTTAGTGCTATGAAGTAAGGAAATATTCATTAATAAATATAAATAAATAGATAGAGCCTGCCAAAATGCAAAAATTAACTGAAATAGAAAAGCTCACAAAAATAGCCCTAAGGGCCAGCCAAATAGCTCAGCAGATGACAGTGTTGCAATCAGGTGCAGGGGCCTGGAGTTTAATCGCTCTTCCTGCTGTGCCAGCCCCGTCCCTGGGGTGTGCTGAGACGGCAATTGAGACTGGGCATAGTGGCGTGAGCCTGTAATCCCAGCTCTTGGGAAGCTGTAAATGGGCGGATCACTATGAATCCGATCTAGTAGTGAGACCCTGAACACCCTGTAAACCCTTCCCTAAAAAGATACAAAAATAAATAAATAGCCCTAGACTAATTTAAGCAACAAAATAAATAGTAGCATTGAATCATAATCCAATTTATAAAATAAATACCTTTGTGTTGTAGGAAGTAAAGAATATAATAGTATAAGCAAAGAGCACACATGCCAAGAACATAGGCTCACTGATCCACCTTCTGCAGGACACCCTGACTTCCAAGTGCATGTGCATTCATAGACATCAGTAATCCCAGTGAAATCAGTGTTTATGGCATACCTGAAGTCCCAGAACTGGGAAGCTGAGGTAGGAAGATCACAAGTTCGAACCCAGCCTCAGAAATTTAGCAACTTTTTGGTGACTTTAAAGTGTCCAATGTTCCTTATTTATATAAGGCAAAATTTCTCTAAACATTGAAGAAAACTGTACCATTTTTTTAATGGCTAGGCCCTATGATATTTGCATGTATGCTGACAGTTCTACCTAATTTTTCCTGAAATCTAACAACTATCACGTGTCTGGAGTGTCTGATGTCCCTCAAGCAGTTTGCATGTCCCAGACAATAACTGTTACCCTCAGACCTTTAACTAAGAAACATTCTCTCCTCCTTTATGACATCACATCCACAAGCACATGAAGTGGTACAGAAATGTACTATAAACTCTGCTGCTGCTGGACTATTCCTGGACATTGCTGAGGATACCTTTCATCATAAACAGGTCATAGCTACTTTAACAATGGCTTATCTGTGCTCTTAACACAAGTTGAAGGCCAAAGAAGTAGCCATTCTTCTAGGCATAAATTATACTGATTTTCAATATTATTTGAGTGGATGTTACCATTTTCACACTATCTCCTGCAAATACCTATGCATCTTTGCACCATTCACTCTAATACAAATCAGTACTACTATAAATATAAGAAGACTTAATAGAGAAGTGGCTTATCAAATCTTCTAACATTCTTTGTAGTACTTCTATATTCTTCCACTCTCTAAGTCAATATACTTTAAGAATCCAAATGCAAAAGTAGATACATATATATTGCCCATAATTTTGGGGACATAAATCTACTAGTGGTCTCCTAGTTCTTTGTTCTACCAAATATAAATATTCTTCTTATCTTTAGTATATAGAGCAGTTACATATTGTATAGTTGTAATTCTTTTCTCTTTCTTTGCTCATTTCTGTAATTCAAAAGCTTATTTGATGTACCTTGAGAAAATTAAAAATACACACTAACAGTTATGATCATAGGACTTTTTTTTTGTGGAACTGGGGATTGAACTCAGGCCCTTGCACTTGCCAGAGAAGCACTTATTCTACTGAGCTATCTCCCCAGCCCTCTATAGGAGTTTATGGAACACCTAATTCTTTTAAATCTTCTACTGGTACCTCAAGGACCATAAATTTCCATACTCTACACTATTGATTATCTACTACATCATATTATGCTTCTTTGTACTCTTAGGTTTGTCAGTTAAAGGTCTGAGGATAACAGTTATTGTCTGGGACAAGCAAACTGCTTGAGGGTTATCAGACACTCCTGACCCATAATAGTTGTTAGATTTCAAGGTAAAATTAGGCAGAAGTGTCAGCATACATGCACATATCATAGGGCCTAGCCCTTAAAAAATGGTACAGTTTTCTTCAATGTTTAGAGAAATTTTGCCTTATATAAAAAGGGACATTGGACACTTTTAGTACTTCTTTACTTATTTTACATCTATTTGGCTGTAAGATTTCTGAAGAAAGTAAAACTTTTTAAAAATTTATTCCTTTCCACATCATTCATATCAAAGTGATAAATTTTTAAGTTTTCAAGAAAATAACCATGAAGAACTTCCCTGCTTACCAACCAAAGAAATCTTAAAGGTTATTCCTTGGATCTCAGTGACTATTACAGACAACAGGTTTCCAAATGCATCAATTTTCTCTTGCTGCACAAGTTAGCACAAACTTAACTATTTAAAATACTATTTTAACATTTACTATGGCATATTTATTATAATATATCTCCACAGATCAAGAGATCTTAAAAGACTAAGCTTTAGCCAAGTCCTCTGTTAGTCTGAGGAGTTAAAAGTAAGACATACGCACTTTGTTGTTCTTTTCAGGAGATTGAAATCTGGTTCATTAAGTTTGTTGGTAGAATTCAATTTGTTGTAGTTGTAGTGCTGTGGTCCTCAGCTTCCAAGACTGCCTCTTCATACTGGAAGCTTTTCCCCTGGCTTTTTGCTTCTCATTGAAGCTATCTGGGAATAGTCTTACTTTTATGGCTTTTACCTATTTAATTCCATCCCATCCAAAATAATGCCCTTGTGATCATTTAAATTCAACTAACTGGATACTCCAGTTAATTTGAAAAATTATACCTTTTTCGTGTAATACCAATTGGTATTCGTCGTGTTTAATGATTCTGCCTACACATGAGGGGAAAGGATAATATAAAGACAGGGGAATACCTGGCTATCGGCCAGAGACACAAGTGCCTGCTTGGCAAGTACAAGGTCCTGAGTTCAATTTCTGGTACAAAAATAAAACAAAAGAAAGAAAGAAAGAGAAGAAAAGAAAAGTAAAAAGTAAGACAGGCACATTAAGGGATTTGGATGGGTCACTAGCATTTTGTTTACCACATCACTTTCAGAAATTGACACAATAATGTAATAATTTATCAAGTCTCTGTTTCCAAAATCTCTCACTTGGGAATTTTTGTGTATATAGGCATTTTGTGCTTTAAAAATTATCATTCCAACAAGGGGACATAATGGGTTGCCTACTCATCAATCCTGTTGTCTACCATACATAATGCATTTGAACAGGCAAAATATATATTCTGACTCATATTTATGGAATTATGACAATCTAATATCAAGCAAACATTTTTCTTTCAAGCCAGTTTTAAAATTCTACTCTTCTAAAGCGTACAACAGCAGGGATCAACTTGGGTGAGTTTGCTGTCCACTGAAAATATGTAACACTTATGAGCACAGGGGGCTTACTTTTAGAAATGTTATTACTTTATTCTTTCTATATTCTGATTCATCATTGTAATATTTAAATCATTTAACTCTTATTAAGAGAAAGAAACACGTGGCTCAGTCATGCTTATTAAATATGTTATAATTCATTAAAATACCCCAAATTATTGAACCATACCTAGAAATCTATAATATATATATATATATATATATAATCTTCTTTGTAGGATATTTCTGAGAAGGAAAGCAGAAAATAACAAGTAGGACATAACATAACAGATAATAACTGATCACGATATGTTATCACATCCCAGATATGATAATTACTCTAAGATGACAAATTCTTTGAGTTTATAATATCTTCCATCAAAATAAAGATAAGAGTATTTATGTACATTAATGAAAGAAGTGTTTTGGAATCATTCATAACTTCTGGAAAACTTTAGAGAAACTATAGTGCTTAGCTAACCAGGATCTTCAGTTTTGAATATTTAGCCGATTAAAGAATTTTATTTATATTTAACTGATAATAATTTCCTGTATTTCTGAAGTGCTGCATGATATTTTGGTCTATGTATAGACTATAAAAAGATTCAATGAGGCTACTTAGCATATCCAGCACCCCACCTACTCTGTGTGTGTGTGTGTGTGTGTGTGCGCGCGCTCACGCGCACTTGGGTGTCAGTATGTGCCAAGAACAGAAAAGGGAATGGAAAGACACTCATCAAAGGGTACAAGCTTTCAATTAGACTGGAGGAATAAGTTTTAATGATATGTTGCATTGAATTGTGAACAGTTAATGTTTTTAATATTTAAGAATTGCTAAAAGATAACTCTTTAGATTGAACACATTGTACTAGCTCTAATAATTCCTGAGTTAACAATTTGCAAGGTAGATACCCATTTAAAGAAATAACATATAATCAAAAGAAAATGCCTGAGTTAATTGTACACCCCGTATTCAATCTTTCTCCAAATCCCAAAACCCAGATGCTGAAAAAAACATTATCTTTAAAGAAGTTCACAAAGAATAATTCAGTATTATACAGTGTCATTCCTTGGCTCCAAGGTCAGAAAAATTTATTTATTACATTCAAAATACCTCTGATGTGCTGAGAATGGCCTCAAGTGAAAACTGAAGAGTTTTATATGACATTACTCACACAGGAAGGACAAATTTTCCACAGTACTCACACAGCAGCAGTGGTTAGAAAATAAATTTCAGCTTCTATTGTTGGACTATTAGTGATGAGAGACACCGAAGAACTACAATATCTGACACATCTATGAGAGCACACTGAATAATAATAGAGCCTCAACTCGTCTCCATTAACCGGTGTTCTCTTAGCTATAGGAAAGCCTGTTTATCTGAAGCCAGACAGTGATGTGTCTCTTTGGTAACCTGATGCTTTATGTAAGGAAAGAGGCTGACCATACTACTTTAATGCATCAGTATTTCCTCTCAGAAAAAAATAAGCTAATATATTTTTCCATATTTACTTTACATAGATTGAATCACTTCTAAAATTCTATTGAACAGGTAGTGTGTCTCGACCCGTAGGTTGGTCAACGAGGACCCTAGAGGGGGAGTGGGGATGAGAAGGCACAGGAGACACAAAGAATGGAGACAAGACAGGATTCTGATCAAGTCTCACTTATTCAGGGGAGGTGCTGGGTATATATAGGGAGTGTAGGAATGAGAAAGTCTCGGCTTTTGAGGTCAGCAGGTATTTAGGCAATGGAGGAAGGTCCCACCCCTGGGGCATATCACGGGGAATGGGCAAGGTGGGAAGGACCAGAAACTTAACTCAGCAGGGGAATAGAAACTTAAGAAAATGGCTGACACTATTATAAAATGGATACCAGTTGTTGGCTTCCCACAGTAGTATCCGTAAAGTATGTTATTAACTGATATAGAAGACTTATATAGCAAAAAGCTATGTGTGTCCTTACCCATGCATGTATACAATTAATTTTTAAATGATCTTCTCAGCAATATCTACACTTCTAGAGTATAGAGATCACAGGGAAAATTCACTCAGAAGACACCAATTTATGATATTTATCAAAAATTGATATCTTCATACTAAAATTCTACTTCATACTAAAATTGATATCTTCAATATGAAACAAAAAGAGAAATAAATGTGTCCATTGAGTAGGCAGGTACTGTCACAATAAGGTTGAAGACCCATTTTGAATCACTTTGTTGATTTCCAACTATGAAATTGTCCATGATTTATTTTAAGCAGTAGATACTTAAAAGGAAGGATAAGTATCAAAACTTCTTAATTATTTTAAATAGATTTATTCAAACATTATAAAAAATTAAGGACTAAAATATGATACTAATAACATGATTTAAAAAAAAAAACTAAAATGCTTTTGTAACAGTCTTGATTGCCAAAACTAGTTCTAATCAACAGTAGTTTGAATCCTAAAATGTCATGGCATACCTCTGATCTATATATGTTATAACATACTGGATTTCAACAAGAAAATCAAGTCAGAGAGAAAAATCTTAACAAAGCCAGAGTAGAAAACACTTCCTGTACACAGGAACAAGAATAAAAAGGAACCATGGAATCAAGAAGACAGTGGAAATTTTTAAAATGTTATGAAAAAACAATCATCCATCAATTCAGAATGTTATGTTCAGGGAAATTATTCTTCAAATGTGAAAGATAAATAAAGGCTTTCATGTAACTTATTATATTTCTCCAAGAAAAGATTTTGTCATCAGCAAATCTGATCCAGAAGAAATTTTGCAATTTATTTGGAAGGAAGAAAGCTCTCTATAAAGCTTTCTTTTCAAAAGCATCTACAAAAACAAGGAAAATATTTCTTGTGATTATGTAAAATTATGTTTAATACAAAGATTTGTAAATCAGGAGAGGATGACAGGTTGAAGAAAGGGGAACAAAATAGAAAGAAAAGTAAAAGCAAGATACATCTCTATGGGTAAAAATTCCTTATAATCAATTTTATGATTGTATATATCTAAAATCTATCAATTGGTCACTTTCCTCTGTGGCCCCATAATCTCCTTGATCAGAAAATTTGGAACACCACTGAGTTGCAGAATGTTACAGAACAGGTTCTCTTATGTCCTGCATCCTCACTGACCTTGAATGACTAGGACCAAAATGTTGGCTGTCCTTGTAGCCCTTCTTTTCTCTAAGTTTTGGTCTGCAAACTTAAGTTGTTAACCCTCCAGAAGAGAAGATTAATGCCTATAACATAGGCAGTTGGGAGCATAACCTCACTATCTGTCTGAATACCAAACATCTTAGATGTAACATGGAACAGGTATTTTACATCAAATATTGATATGTTAAACTTTAAGTCCCTACTAAATGTGAAGAAAAAAATTAAAAGTTAAAAAATAAAAAATGACAAATGATCTACAAACTGTGGTACAGGGTTTCCGGGTAAATCCTGAGGGGATTTGACTGACATTGTCAGAATCATAAGTTACATTTCTTTGTTATATAAGACTTGTTTTATCTTGGTCTTAACCATCCAGTAGGAAAGTACAAAAATGAGGTATAAAAAGTAAAGCCATATTAATATGCTTAGCTATAAAAGACTCAACTTCTTCTGACACTGCTAGTATATGGATAACCCGCTACTATTATTGACTACTGTAGTATATTGTATTATTTTTCTGAATTCACTCACCTACAATACTTGAATGGCAATGGAATATCCATCTCTGACAAAACTAAACAAAAAAAGGGATACAAATGAAGGACCATTTTGTATCTGTATATACAGAACAGTTAGGATAGATATACAGCTACTTTCTCTTAATTCAGTGAGAAGAAAGATTTGTACTAATAATGTTTGGACAGGATATCATGTCTGCATTTTATACTATAAATAACTACTATGAAGACAACAGTATGCAATGTATTAATTATTGTAACTGTCCTACTAACCTGTTTTGAAACTGTCTCATTGTTATTTGTTTCTCAATGAAATTAATAAAATAAATAAAATTTGAAAATTCAAAAAAATTATGTAGTGGGTATCTGTTACACATGGAAAAGTGAAATAATGAACAACACCAGTACCTAAGTAATAGAAGGGGCAACCTGAAAATACTATTTTAAGGTACTTATAATGAATATGAAGTAATCATAGCATTATTTGCAGGAGGCAAAATTAGATTATACATATATATATATATGTATATATATTAAAATAGTAAAGTGAAACTTCAAAAAAATAGAGTATCATAAGCAATATTTTGAAAGGGAAAAGAAAAAGACAGTCATGAAAATGTTAAATTAAATCAGAGAAGGCAAAAGAAAGAAAAAAGTTAAAACCACGTAATAACTAGAAAATAAAGATGACTATGGAAGATATCAATCCAATTATAACAATAATAGACCATTAAACTCACAATTAAAAGATAAGATTATCAGTGTGGACAGAGCAGATTTCTGAAAGAAGAAATTTGTCAAGGATAAGGGCAGACACTATACAATGAGGAAGAAGTCATTTAGATTAGGAGATACCACCTCAGTTAATACGTGTGTGCCTAACAAGGGTGTCCGGATAACAAAGCAACACTCGGGGAAATGTACAGGGAAAGACATGATCGCTGTTATATTTTAAAAAGGTAGTGCTTTTTGTTTTCAAATGACAGATTCAGAAGACAAAATATCAGTAAATACCATAAGGAGTAAAACTGATCCAAGAAGTATTAGCAATCAACTGCATTTAATTGAAATCCTTAGAACATTCCAGTCCAAGTAACTGAATACCCATTTTGCTCAAGCTCACATCCGGCACTTATTAAGACAGATCCCATTCTAGGTTATAAACAGAGTCTAAAATCCAAAAAAGCACAGGAGAAATATATATAAACTACATACTCAGACCGCTAAGTCTAGAATAGAATAAGTCCAGTAATAGAAAAACCACTGAAAAACGACCTGATATTGAGAAGTTTAAAATTTTTTTCAGTAGCTTAAAAAGTAAGGATTAAACAAAGAAACAACATACATTATGTATGTGTGGAAAACTACCAGACATTGATGAAATAAATCAAATAGTATGCAAATCAGTATTGGGGATATACAACAAAGACAATGGTGCTTTCTCAATTTCTGCAATGTAAGAAACCTTAAAAAACTCAAGGTGTTTGATGCTGCAATCCATATGACCATCATTTTTATCAAATACTTTTATGTTCTCATATTTTCTTTCTTTATGTATTTAGTACAGGGTCTACAGGGTCTCACTACATAGATCGGACTCCTAGTGTTCTCAGCCACCCAAGTGCTGGGATTGCAGGTGCTGGCCACCGTGCCCAGTCTTGATTACCGTCTCAACGCCCCCCGGGGGCAGGGCTGACACAGCCAGCTGGGGATGAAACGGCCCTTGCATCTGCCTAAGCGGGCACTTCAATCCACTGAGATATCTGGCTACCATGTTCTCATATTTTCAATGCTTTCTCACTTGAATTTTATCTTTATCAAAAATTCGTTGAGTTATATTTTGAAAACCCTAATGAAATAAGAGTAAGAAAATATTTCAGCAGACATTATTGAATATAATACATAGATTGCAAATATGCATATGGAAGATACTCAGGAGGCTTACTAATTAGTGAAATGTAAATTAAACCCATCCTGGGACCTCAACAAATCTCTTAGAGTGACTGCTAAATATCCCAAATAGCAAGCTCTAATCAGAATGCAAAAAAAAACCACATGAAAGACAAAACTCAGGTATTTCTGTTTAGAATGTGAAAGAGTGAAGAATTTTTAGAAAACAGTTTGGCAGTTCTTTATGAATTTAAATACATATGCATTTACCATCAACACAGATGCCGGAGTTTAGGTGTTTTACTGACTGAAAATTTATGTTTGGGGCAAAAATGTAATATAAGCTGAAATTAAAGAATTGTTTAGATAGAATTGACACCTTTTACTCTGTTGAGTCCTCCAATCCTTTTTATTTCTAGTTTCTTTATTAATATTTTTTAATATCAAACTTAAACTTTTTAACTTAAACTTGGATCCTGTTGGCTTGCTGAAACCACTTATTAATTTTAGGCATTCGTAACAGTATGTGTATTTGTTGGCATTTTCTACAGAGCAGTTGTACTGGTAGGGTCCACGCTGGTGCAGAGATATCTAGGTATTTCTGAGTGTGGCATACGAGTCCCAAGATGAGTTTGGAAAGAGAATTCTTTGGCTCCTCACTCTGTTAGTTGGGTCCTGGAAGATCAGCCCTCCTAGCAGGATCTGATTGCTAATGGGGGAGACATGCCACTGTGATCCAGAGAACGAGATTTTCTGCTCACCTGCCAGATGAGAGGTTGGGAAATGCCTTGCGTAGGTCACTTTTTGTTAGGACATGGTGCTGAAGACGAAGAACCATCATGTTTTGGTTTTCTTTAGTCCCGGTACCCTAAACCAATCTTTCCTGCTAACACTTTGTGTAAGTATACAAAAACTCCACTTTCTATATTTCAACAGTCTATATTTCAGATACCTTGCTATTTTTCTCATCATTCTTCCAAAGCAAACCAAAATACACCAGCCAGGGTGGTGCATTTAGTCTAGGAGACTCCTGCATGAGGAGTTAATATTGCGAGAGGGGAGAGAGAGTAAACTGAACAGACCTGACAGAAAAAATGAGAGCGTTTTCAAGTGCTGAAATGAGTTGGTGATAAAGTACTAGAGGACAGGGTAAGATGTAGGAAATGTAATCAGTCATCTGTTTGTATTTATTTATTTATTTATTTATTTATTTATTTATTCACTGTCAAAACCAAGAAACTTATATTCATATAATTGGAATTCTCAAAGTGGAAAGGAGTAGGCAATAAATATTTAAAGATTTAAGATTTATGAACTTAGTACAATTTATAATATCATATTTCCAAGAAAAATGAACCTTTAGCACAATAAATTTAAATAAAATCATACCAAGATACACAAAAATGAAATTGTCCAAAACTTATTGTAAAGAAAAATTCATTAACACATATGCATAAAAAATATTAGCTATGGAAGAACAAAGCACCTTATTCCACATTAGAAAGAAAAAAAAGGACCAAGTGTATAAGAAACTAGACTAATTAAAGGACTGAAAGAAAAGATCTGTCCTCTTTGAATATTATACTTAGCAAACATACCTTTGAAAACTAAAAGTAAGATTTTCTAGTTATACAAACTTGAAATATTTTAATATTTACAGAAGTAGCATGTAGGAAATAACAAAGAGCATAATTCAAAAGGCAAGAGAAGTTGCAGTACCATATATGTGTGTGTGTGTGTGTGTGTGTGTGTGTGTGTGTGTGTGTACATATAAAAGACAGGGAAGAGGCAATATAAAGTCAATAGAAGATGGAAATACTTTTTAAAGTTTCTAATACTAGGAGAAGATATCATAGGATGACTTTTAAATAAATTGTAAGTCAAAGATATAGTATGAATCTTAGAACAAACATTAAGATTAAGCAATATTCAGAAAATTAAATACTAATTAATTAAAAATTAAATGTTTCAAAACAATTGAACTAAGAAAAAGTTTTCATGATAGCAAAGATGTACTAAGAGTAAAACATAAGATAAATACTGGAATGGCAAGTAAATGACCAGCACTTCTAATAGTTTGAGGATAGGATATCACGCAAAGTTCTAGTGTGTTGTGGACATCCATAAGGTCATCTGTTTTTAATTTACTGTTGCACAACTACTTCTATTTCTGCAAAGACTATAGAATAGGGCTTCCTTCTTTTTAATATGAAATATAATTTCCTTTTGTTTTTGGTGTAATGTTTCAAAAATACAGTGAGTATCAAGATAGCAATTGCCACACAGGATATCTAAGATAATTTTTATCTGTCTTTTGATGGCAACTTAAATTTTTTACCAATTTCAGATGGTTATATCTGGTAACATGAGCAACTACATTGAAGACAACAATGTTCAATGTAGCTACCATTGTTGAATACCTAAAAAAACCCAAACAAACACAATCAAGTTACCTTGAGAATGAAAGTTTCATTTTCAGACATATGTTGGGCACCTGGCTAATACTCATGACCATTCATACACAATTTCTGTGTCTCTGCCTCTCCTCCTCTCCCTTTACCTCTCTCACAGACATACAAATGCAGGCACACACACACACACACACACACACACACACACACACACACACAGATATGGAAAGAAAGAGAACCTTCCTGAAATATCTGATTTTTTTCTCCATTTTCATTTTATTCTGTTTACATTTAATTTCATTGAAAAGACCACATGTTAAGTTTTTAATAACTAATGGGAGTATAATGTATTCAGAATGTAATGATGTGAAATTCTTGCCTGATAACTTCAAATAATTTATGGAAAACTGGCAGGGAAGCAAAAAATCTCTTACAGGCTTCCTTAGGACTCCTTTATGAAGGCATTCATCTTGATCTAGAATAATGTCTGCACTGTTTGCTGTTCAAAGGCCACCATGCAGGAGATGGGAATTTGGGTAGGAGAGACAAAGGTTTGTTAAAGGTCTGTGAGGCCCTGAAGGGAATGGTGAAGCTGTCATCCTCAAATTCCTTATTTGAAAACCCAAGGAGGAGAAAGGATTTTATAAGGGGAGAATGGGAGGCACAGAGAAGGATATGAGCACACCAGGATCTTTATCCTTTCAAGAACGCTTTCCATTTTTCTGATTTCTGGAATTAGCAATATTACTCTACTTCCTGACTATAGCTCTGATTGCTTTTGTTTGTTTAATACTAAAGATTGAGCTCAGGATCTTTACATTGAGATACATCTCTTGCCATTTATTCATTTTTCATTAGAAGGCAGAGTATTTCTAAATTGTTACGTTGCCCAGGCTGGGCTCCAGTTTGTGACCCTTCCGTCTCATGCTCCCAGAGTTCCAAGACTACAGGCACATGCCACCCTCAGTAGATCTTTTTGACGAATGTATTTTCTTTCTGAAAATCAAATCTCACATGAGTGTACATGCTTTCTGGTAGTTAATCCAGATAATTTAAGACTTAGAAGGAGCATTAAAAATTATAACAGGTGTTCTGGGTTCTGCAACTCTAAAGATTATTTCATATTTAACATCTGAACCACTTAAATGGGACCATGCTTCAGAAGTAATCCTATCAGGGACGATTCCAAAGGGGTGACCCTGTTACAGTATTTCTGTGAAACCCATGCTGAACCCAATGGAAACATGCTTTGCATCAAGGGGTAGGAAGGCAATACACTTTGTTATGCAGGCAGGCTGATGAAATGAACTTCCAAAGCATCAGGTCAGAGGTAAAAATTTGCAAGCAGGAAGTACAAAGGCTTAAAAGAATTTTATTGGGCAGCATCTATCATCCCTTATTGCTGATCAGAAAGTCCCTGAAGGGAGTAATAGGGCTGGTCACCTCTCATTGCTGGGAAGGACCAGGTGTGTGGCTAAATGTGGCCAGACTGAGCTGCCTCGGGTTATCTTTGGCTCTATCAAGCCTGGATGAGTGTAACAGACAATTTACGTGGTGGGTTGCATGATCTTACTTTGTCGTAATATGGACTACGAATGGGTTTCTACCTTTTTAAAATATGTATTATATTATCATTCATGAAACAGAGCCTGCATGACTTCTCCCAAAGGCATACGTCATAATAGTGTTATACTTAAGGTTAAATTTTAACGTACAAATGATGGGAGAAGCACATTGAGTCCATAGCAAAAAAGAAATGATGATTTTAATTTTAGAAAGTATGAGCTTTTTTGTTCCTATTCATCCATTCCTCTTGGACCAAGCTAAATCTTTAATAAGAGGAAAACAAAATTTTAGGGAGAAAATGGGCCTCATAGTCAATATAAACTTAAATATTTTTATGTTTCATTGGCAAAGACATTTTTAACAATATTAATTCTGATCAGTGAATAAGAGATCTTTCGATCTTCTAATATCTTCAATTTCTTACTTTGTGTTCTATAATTTTCATTAGATTTTGGGCGAATCACCTGGCAATGTGTAATGTAATTGAGTTTGAATAGCATCTGTAAAATCAACTTATTTCTGATACTATGTTTCAATGTCATTCAGGATTAGAACCAAAATTAACCTTTCATTGAGGCATAAAGTTGATGAACTATCAACAGAGACCTAGTCATAATATCCATATATTTTCTGTTAATTTCATGTTTCTAAGAGACATAAAGTATTTGCCAAACCTCGTTTCTTTCAAGGGGGCATTTTATGTCCATATAACAAAATTCCAAGTATAATGAGTTCTTAGTTTCAGATAATGTGGCTTTCCTGAAAAGAAGGAGGGAGAAACAATGCAGTTCCTTCTCAGATTGTCTCATCTAAAAAAATTCAAGCTGTTCTTCCAGGTAAATCAGTTTTCAATTACATTTCTCTAGTATAAAGGGTCTTAGTTTTTTGTGATAAAAATGTACATATTTTAAAGAAGATGTCATGTAAATCCATACTTAGTGATAATTTTTGCCTTATTTAGAGGCAAAATATTTACACACAAATTGTAAATAACTTCCTTAGAGAGAATCTGTCTTCAACAAAGTGGTCATTATTTATTTGAACAAGAATGAATTGTGGGAAACCCTCCATGTCTGTATGTCCAGGAGAGTTATGCAAAAGATGATTTCTCCACTTCAAAAAGGATTAAATATCTTACATTTTTTTTTACTGAGATTTAAAAAAATTCAGATTACTTTAATAAACATCCTGAAGATTCTTATTTTTAAATGATAAACTCCTTTATTCTTCCGCTGGCAGAGTTCAAGAATATATGCATCGAGGGTTCAGTTCCCAGCACCACATGCCGCCCTGGCTCCACCCCCAGGGCGCACTGAGCTAGTGACTGAGTCCAGGTGTGGCGGCGTTTACCTGTAATCCCAGCGCTGGGGAGTCTCAGAATAGGAGGATCACTAGGAGTCTGAGCTGCGTAGTGAGATCCTGCACCAAATATATGAAAAGAAAAAAGAATATATGCATCTGAATTTTAATTTGTGAAAAATAATCCTTTATAAATCTAAACTTCTATAGAAGCACCAAGTGCTTTTACCCATTTCATTAGGTGATTTACCACCAGAATTTTCATACTAATTATATCTTGACTTTTTGTTTAAATTAGTGAGGCAGCACAGTAAATCACATTATTTCTAAAATTATTGAGATCTGTCTGTACATAGAATATGTATGTAATTTTTGTCATTTTCTTTTAATTTGTTTTACTAAGAACTTATTTCCTCACATACGTCATTTTAATAGTAAGACTCTAAAAGATGGCTACAGTTTTCCATAGTAGTATGGTTGGCATTATTTAAAACAAAATATTTTGTTTGCTTTATATGAAATATTACTTAATAAGCAATTAAGTTTATCTCATATCAAAATTAAGATATGTATGGGAGTCAAGACCTAGAAAGGTCCACATTTTGTTTCTATTAGATTGTGTCAATTATGTTTTTGTATTCTGTATACTTCAAACTCTGTCTTCCTTTTTTGTTGTTAGTAATGCTACTGATTTATTAAAGAAAACATGCCAGCTGTCTTTTAGGATGTATCACAATCATATTAAAGCATCTGCTTGAATGCAGATTCTTTGATCTCCTAGCCTGCTGTGCCAGCCCCGCCCCTGGGGCATGCTGAGATAGCCATTGAAACTGGGCATGGTGGTGCACTCCTATAATCCCAACACTAGGGAGGCTGTAAACAGGAAGATCACTATGAGTCCCATCTACACAGTGAAACCCTGTACACCCTGTGCTCCCTATCTTAAATACAAAAAAAGGGGGGGGGGAAGGGATACATCATAATCGTGATGTGTCTGAATGTTTTTTATACTACATTTTCACTCTCTCACTTGCTTGTCAATGTAAATGTAAATGAATTCTAAATGTTTTATTAAATTTGGAACTCTTAGGGCCTACCAAATAGCTCAGGGGATTAAAGAGCCTGCAAACAGTCACAGGAGCCAAGGGTTTGATCCTCGGGCCTGGCGCACTGGCCCTTGGGGTGTGCTGAGACGTCAATAGAGACTGGGCATGGTGGCTCCTTTCTCTGTAATCCCAGCACTTGGGAGGCTGTAAACAGGCTGATCACTATGATCCTATCTACGCATTGAGATCCTGAACACCCTGTAGATCCTTCCCTAAAAATAAAAAAGAAAAAAAAGAAAAAGTGTGTATGTATTTAAAAATTTGGAGCTGAAAAAGTATGTATGTATTTATTCTTTAAATAATTTTATTAAGAAACAAATAGCAATGAGACAGTTTCACAACCCATTACTAGCACATTTTCAATAATTAATACATTGCATGTTATTATCTTAGTGTGTCAGGGAGATGGCTCAGTAGAACAAGCATTTGCCTGGCAAGAACAAGGACCTGAGTTCAATCCCTGGTTCTGAAAAAAAAATTTAGGGGGGCCAGGGAGATGGCTCAGCAGAATAAGCGCTTCCCTGGCAAGCACAAGGACCTGAGTTCAATCCCCAGTTCCTCAAAAAAAAAAAAAAAAAAAAAAAAAAAGGAATGTCTTAGTGGTTATTTATTGTACAAAATGCAGACATATCCTGTCTCAAACACTTTTAGAACAAACCTCTCCATTCATTGAATTAAGAGAATGGACCTGTGTATCTATCCTATTTTGAGTATACAGATACAAAACAGTTTTTCATTTCTATCCTACTTTTTTGGTTAGTTTGGTCAGAGGAGGGTATTCCATTGTCATTTAAATACTGTAGGTGCATGTATCCCAATACAGACCAGTCTTGGGTTTTCTGTAAGACTGGCAATGTCCGAAGTTGTTGACTTGAGTCCTTTACAGCTCAGCATATTAATATGGCTTTACTTTTTATGCTTTGTTTTTGTACTTTTAGTGTGTTTGTTTGTTTTTATACTTTTATGCTGTATGGTTAAGACCAAGATAAAGCAAGACCTATGTAACAAGAGATGTAACTTTTGTATCTGGTAAGGTCAGTCAGATCCCCTCAGGGTTTAACTTAAAACCCGGTACCACATCTTGTAGATCCTTTGTCATTGTCAGCCATCAGATGAGTCATGGCCATTGCTTGACCAATTGGCTCTCTGTGAAAGACTAAGAGAATGTTTTCTCTCCATGTGACTCTCCTTAGGCACACTCTACGTCATTGATCATTTTCCTCTGTGGCCCCATAATCTCCTTGTTCAGAAAATTTGGGACACAACTGTTTTACATGGTGTCATAGTACAGGTTCTCCTCTGTCCTTTCTTCACTGACCTTGAAAGGATAGGGCTGAAATGTTGGCTGTCCTTGCAGCCCTTCTTTTTCTGTAACTTTTCATCTCCTGAAAAGAGGCTTATTATTATTACCCTACAACATAGGCACTTGAGATTAACCTCACTATCTGTTTGGATATCAAACATCTTAAATATAACGTGGAACAGGTATTTTCCATCAAGTAGTGATATGTTGAACTTTGTGTCCCTCCAGAAGATGAAGAAAAAAGTGTAAAAAGATAAAAAATTAAAATAAGAATAAGTATTTGCATATTTTTACACAGAAATGTAGAAATCTAACCACATACAGCCTTGTGGCAGGACTATCCTGTGACTTTTATTTTGTCTTTTTTTTTCATTTGTGACCTTTTTTTAAACAAATATTTATTTGAGAGACAGTGTGGCAGTAACTGGTATGTCATGACGAGAAGTACGTATTGAGAAGACCAGAATGACGGGCATTCCAAGCGTGAGCCTACATTTACACATTGCTTTCTTCAGTGTAGTTGCTTAGTTTACAAGTATCAGCATATATAGTTAGTCAGGGTGAGAATCCTACCAATTAGCTTCTAGTTTCAAAACATGCTGAAGATTCTCAGGACCATTGCCTTACCTATCTTGTGCATATAAATGTATGACTGTGCCCCTGTCACATTTCCTAGCTTTTCTTCTTGCCCTCTCTTCATTGTCTAGACCTCAAGTTCTTGCTTTCCTAAAAAAGTGTATA